TCAGAAAGTTTAGTTTGAGAGCACTTCATTCATTCATTCGACGTCAAAAATCTTAGATAATGGGAATTATTAAAAATTATTAAAAAGGCGCAATCTAGCTATGTAAGGATTTTCTTTGAAAATAGATAGCTACTTCTCATCGCGTTTTACCATTTGAATTTCTAGTCGGCGATCGTTGACTTCCTTAATGTACTGAAATTCAATGAGCAAGAAACATTTGTTTTTGACTTCGTCTGTGAACAAACCTATTTTCTAATTGGCATCTTCTGAGAGAAAAAAGACTTTTGTTTCCTTTTTACACCTTTTAAAAAGCCGATCATGAATTCTTCATGATTGCTCTTTATCTCAGGAGAGCGGGAAAGATTAGATAAATGCTATTTTCCGACAGTTTTATTTTCCAACCGCACAAGCAACATCTGTCTAAGTTGGCTTTCATTAACGACAGCGACAACTGTCTGTGTAAGTCCGCTACAAAAATATACGACAAACGCACATTAATGGCTTGTGATCGGTACAACAGTTACAACAATTTTTATTCTTTGATCTTTTTACATAAAATTAAAGTGGGATAGTAGCCCCCGCAAATAGCTAGAAAGCTAATCGTGGCGGGGCAAGACAAGTACCTGAATGACATAAATCGTCTGGTATCTAAGGACATGGAGTCGTTATTTACACAGTCAGATAGAAAAAGATAAGAAGACAATTAAACTTAGAAAGAGTATTTATGTACCTACTTTTTTAATGATCATGGGGATTTAAATATAGTTATCTTCTTTTTCTAAGATATCAAATAGCACTTTGCGAAGGACTATTTTAAAAGCTTTCTTTGGGAGATCCGTTCTACAGCTTGGTATCTTATTCCACAGCTTTACTCCGATCAGCGAGAAGGAATTGTTTTTTATTTCTAGTCTCGAACTTTTAACATAAAACTTACCAGACGTAAACGATTGTGTATTGTATAAATGAATATTAGACGTTTTCTGAAATAGGTTTAGTATGTACCGACTCGTAATAAAGAAAAGTTATCGGAAGCACGTTTGCTTTAAGAAATAAAGGAATTGCATGGTCATGCCAGTCTGCAAAGTACAGCAGACGAAAGGGCTCTTTTCTGAAGAATAAGAATTTTAAGATGAGTCATCAATGCC